ATAAATATAACCACACGTGAATGTAACCACACGTGAATATAACCGCACATGAATGTAAATGAAAGAAACAGGTAATTAGGCCACTTACTTTAGGAGAGATCCATGAGGGCTTTCTTCTAACATTGCTCATCATATTCACTTGCTCCATAACACTGTTCATTGAATATGAATTAAACATATTACATGCTAAACTACTTACAATATCAAAGAAAATAAATTAAACATACACTTACGAATTAATAATCTCTTTCATTTTCTTATCTAGTGGATCATGCAAGGAACACAATACAATTATCGTATTCGTCTTAAATGCTAGTATGATCAATTGCTAATGACATGAAAATATATATTATTAGTATTTTCTAAAACAAAACTAAATATAGAATACATAAACATCAATTACAAAAATATGTACGAACATCTAAATGGTGCTAAGTACATTCTTTTCCTCCCTCATTTAACCGTTTTTTTAAGTAATCTTGAATGTCTTTTGGTTGATTATACACCCATTGAATAAAAAACAGATCCAAAATTCCATAAATACTCAATTTATTCAACTCTATACAAACACGGTGAATGTACCTAAATGGTTAAAGAAAATGAATAAATTAATTGAGGAAATACAAAAAATTTAATGTTCTATAATGACATGTATATTCAACTATATACTTACATGCACCAAAATTGCAATATCCCTACGTCCAGACACTTATATCCACCGAGAAAATCTCTTACATCTTCAGGATTGTAGTAGAATAACTCCAAATATGGATAATATTCTAGCGGGAGAGGTTGCACATCATTTATCACCGCAATGTTCAAGTATAACATGGTGATTTCATTTGAGTTAGGGTTTAATAAATCATTGCAGTTAGCTGGAGAGAGGGGATAAACAATTACTTCCTTTTATAGAAGCACGACGTACAACACTTCTACTTGGAGTTTGATCATGATCATGATCATCATCACCATCAACATAATGTTGATCTTAATTTGTACATTGTTCGAGGTTTTCACTTAATCTTTACATCATAATGTTCAGTTGGAATAAAAATAAGCACAATATGTATATCATACTGTAATATGGTGGGAGAACTGACTTTTGGTTTTGCGTTTTATTGCAAATGTTGCGAATAGCAAGAGTCGCCATCGACTTTTATTTTATCCAATAAAGGAAAGGGTGAAAAGAACAGGAAAGACCTTCGAGAATTTTCGGAGTAAGGGGGGTAGGCTATGAAAAGGGAAGGTGACATCACCCTTTTCATCCAAGTTATCTACGGGCTCTTAATCGCTAGCTCACTTTTGAAAATGCTTTGTGAATGTGTAAGTTTTGAAAATATTTTGAAAAATGCCTAAGTGAGGCAAACTTTGTAATGATTCCCGTATCATTTGAGAACGCATACAAAGTGTTTGTTTTGAAAATATTTCAGAAGAGAATTGTATTGTATGAAAAATATTTTGAAATGTTCGTGAGTAAGCGATTAAAAATTATCTACCTATTCAAAAGTCTTTGTTATTTTCCTCCTCCTTTAGCTAGTGTTATCCTACCATCGGTTAGTAGGAAGCCCTATCATTGGATGTTTGAGGGATAGTCGCGGGTTATCGTACAATCATAAAGGTAACTCGTAGGGTGCTTTAGCAATTTATTGTAAGAGACTAAGATCGTTTACCGAAGGCAGCATCGAAGGATCATCGAGGGACTACGATCTTTTAACCGAGAGTCTTTGCTAAAGCGTCCCACGTTCGAGGGACATGACTGTTTTCCGAAGGCAACAAGTGGAGGTTACTCTAGAGGTACACATGTGCAAGGTGATTTGTTTTCAGTTAATTTGTCTTGGATTTATGGTTATCTAGCGTTTGCTTTTAGTCTTTACCATACAATCCTATTAAACTAGCAGTAATAAGGAAAACAGTAAATTGCGGAAAAATAAATCTAGACTATTACAGAGCTTCGGAGAAGGGGGTACAAAGCCATAAAATGGGGAAATAAATAGGAAAATCGTAATTAAGACTATTACAGACCATTAGCAGTTACATAAATGATAAAAAATAATTTGCAAACGTAACATCAAAGGGAACATTGGAATTGACGGGAAAAGAAATGTTCTTTTGTTGTTTTTTATGAAAAATAAATGTTTGTGATTAATTATAAAAAAAATAATAATTAATTTTACTTAATTAATTAAAAAGAATTTGATTAATTTAAGCCTAGAAAACCTAATTAATTAGATTACTAATTAAACTAAATCATTTTTATTTAATGAAAATAATTAATAAAATAATTATTAATATTAAATAAAATTTGATCAATTTAATTATTTATTTTAAAAATATATATTTTTTGTGTTTTTATTTTCATAAAAAAAATAGAAATAATATAAAGAAGAAAAAAAAAAGTAAATGGGTCTGAAATAACAGAAATCTGGGGGTATGAGAAAAGCAAAGTTGCTAGGCCCAAAATCGCTGGCCCAGGCGCTGGAAGAGTGTCTTTAGAATCCTGTGTGGCTCTCCAATAAGGTCTATCATGAGTGCACAGATCTGGAACGCTTGATCTGGATCTGTTAAGATTTGATGGTGTTGATGATGAGGGTGCACAACATGCGTGCTGGACTGTTTGCATTGGATCTGTGAGAAATAAATATGGAAAATAAAAATACCAGGGGCAGGGATCGAACCCGTGCCCTGGTATACCAATGCCTTTACAACGTTCGCTCTACCGTTGGGGCGACTATTTCATCCGGTACTAGAATGCAAACTAGTTAATATAAAATAAAACAAGATTTTAATTTGAATTAAAAGAAAAACCAAATCAGCGCAGGTGGGCCCCTGATGTTTGAACGAGCCAATTGTTTTCTTTCCTCCTGCCACATCATCACTCAGGCGAGTCCAACCACCTCTCACGGTGTTCAACTCCTTCTTCTCTGGTTGATCCAAATCTCAAACCTGCGAATAACAAGAATCAAAGCCCCAAATTAACACTAACTCCCCTAAATCAAGGTTTGTGAATCCAATAATGCTATTAGTTTTGCCAGTAATGGTCTGGAAATACTGATACAAAGGTACATAAATGTTTTGCCCTAGCCATGGCAAAATGCTATTTTCACGTTAGAGCTTCAGCTTTTTGATCCAGACTTCTTCTATACAACAACAAAAACTCTTTTGGGAAATCAATAAATATTAACCACGCATGAATTTGAATATATGAATATTTGGGAAAAAAGTGAATCGAAGAAGATGAGTGTGCTGGTTTCAAGCACTGACGACCACGACTTTTGATTTATTCTTACTCTTAGATGCTTCAGGAATGATTTGCAATGAGTGACTTGGTCTGAAAGTGGTCGGATCCTTTGATTCAAGTTTACACCTTTCTCATTTACAAGCAAACGGTTTGAACGATTTCAGAAACATTTCACTCTCCTTATTCCACATTCAATAACAATTTTATTACTTATTAATCTCTCTACCACAACTTTTCTTCATGCGGTCTCTTTCATTCGTCTTCCCACTTTCAATTTCTTTGGGTTTCTGATTTCGTCATCTTCTCTCTCTTTCGACTTTGATTTTGATTTAATTTTCAAAGTTTCAGGTTTGGTGGTGTTGGCTCACGCGGAAAGAGGAAGATTCGTCTGCGGTGCAGTTTCTGATGACTTGTCGGTGTTGATTGTGGCAGATGATGAATATTCTGAAAGAGGTTTGATTTTAACTTTCTCTTTTTTTCTCGTCACGTTGTTTATACGTGCAAGTTTTTTAACGAGCTTTATTTATACTTTAGAATTTTTTTCCCTCTTCATATAAGTATTATGTTGTTTAATAGTATTTAACGGTGCATGTGTTTAATGGAATTTGTGGTAGAGATTTGTGTTCATATTTGAACAGGTTGCCTCCAGGAAAGTGTTCGATGAAATTACAAATCAATGCCTTCAGTTTATCTTCTCTAACACAATCAAATTACATTTTATTTTATCAAAGAATTAATGCTATTTCTTCAGGTATTTAAAATGGTAGAACTATTTTCATCAGGTATCAAATATCAATTTTCAACTATTTTTTTCTATTCTATATTCCATATCCGAAAACAGTTTCGACATCCATTACTCTTCTTCTTCATCTTATGCCTCTCTCTTCTTCTTCATCATTTCAATTCAATTTAATTATTTTGGTTTTAGGATTTAAACTCCGTGAAGCCATCGTCGATGATTTGAATGGTAGATCTGTGACCAACGAAAGAAGAAATTAGGATTTTACGGTACCTTACTCTTTGTTTTTCTATAGATCTTTGCTTATTTGATTTACACTATAAAGTTAGGGTTTAATTTATCTATATTCATTTATAGGAACTTGATCATAAATTTATATTCCTTTTCTAGGCGATTTATTGGAAGCGCACGTGAAAGTGCACGTTAGTGCTAAGTATTTCGCTCAATTTTTTTCTTATTTATTTCAAATTTGGTAATCTTACATGTAAATTTGGTAATCTTATTTATTTCAAATTATATACTTTATTTAATTGTTTTTAATATTATTATTATTATTATTATTATTATTATTTTATTTAAATTCTAAAATATATTTAATATTATCATTTATTTAATATGAGAATTTGTGGCATATACTTTTGGTTTGGTTAATGCAATGGTCACTTAAACAAATGAAATGTTCTTTATTGGTCAAATTAAGTCGGTGGTGGATTGAGGAGTGAACTTACTTCTTATATATAACACAAGCTCTCTCTATATAGTATTACATTCACTTAAACTTTTACTAACATGGCTGCTGTGATTAAAGGAATGGGTACCAAAGGAGGATTGCCAAGTAAGCTGTGTTTCTTATTGATTTTTTTTTCAAGTTAAGTCGGTTGATTGATGAGTAAAATTAATTACTATATATATAACACAAGCTAAGCTAAATTATATTTCTCTCTCACCCAAAGCTGTCTATATAAAGCATTACACTCACTTTTACAGTTTTCACTTCAATTTTACTAAGCTGTCTTGATAAATATGGCTGCGGTGGTGATTGACGGCATGGCTAAAAGGAAGAAATATGAAGATAATGACAATGACTCTTTGTCATCATATAATAATACTAAGAAACGTCGTGTTGTTTGGTCAGATGATCTTCATGCAAAGTTTGTTGAAGCTGTTAACCTACTTGGGTTACATGGTATGTATGTTTTCTACAAACCCTAACAGGATAGATATACTTGTTGTTTCACTCCTTGAATTGTTTAATCCCTAATATATACAAGATTTTGTTTCTTGTTTGCAGATGTTGTTCCCAAAAAAATAGTTGGTTTGATGAATGTTGATGGCATTACTAGCAAACATGTCGCAAGCCATCTCCAGGTATAGTTGCATATTCTCTTTATCATTGTTGTTCTTGATAAATCTTGATGATTCTTGATGAACATTGTCCCATCTGCAGCATATGTATATTCTTTATCACGGTTCTTGATGAATCTTGATGATTCCTGATGAATGTTGTTCACAAATCTCAATACATCTTGATCATTCTTGATGAAAATTCTCCCATCTGCATACATATATTCTTGCACATACATATATTCTTGCACAGTTGTTTATATCAAATACTAGTATTGTTTTATTCTTGAAATCATTGTTACAATGTGAGTGACTAAACTGAACAATATTGCTTGTGATGCAGAAATATAGACTCGGTAAGAAAAAGGCTGCTCAAAAGGTTCCTTCAACACTCACTCAACAGCCTACTCAATCTCAATACATGAACATCCATCCATCAAGTTTACTCCTCCATAACAAAAAGTCTGTTGACAAGGTTCCTTCAACACTTATTCAGCCTACTCAATCTCAAAACATCCATCCATCATACAAGTTTCCGGTAAATGAAACCTCAACTCTACTCCTCCCTAACAAAATGCCTCTCCATCAATTTCCCACAGAAATTTATTCGCCGGCTGCTTTGAACATGAGTGGAGTTGCTCCTTCACCACCATCATCCACCTTTCCTATATATCATCAAACCTCTACTTTTCCAACTAACAACTCATTTAACATTCATCCATCATACAATTTTCCTGTTAATCAAACCTCAACTTTACTCCTCCCTAACAAAATGCCTCTCCATCAATCTCACCCACAAGTTTACTCTCCATCCGGTTTGAACATGAGTGGTCGGAGTCCTACTCAGTTTCATAATATCATCCATCCACCACCATCCACCTTTCCTATATATCATCAAACCTCTACTTTATTTCAACCTCTTCTTAACCAATCTACATCTCCACCTGCATTGGCAACAACTTTCGACTTCCATGACATTAGGGCTACTAACTTCCCTTTTGTTGGATCTGCTTCTTCCAAAAGCACAAGCATTTCGGATTATGATTGGTATACAATATACATGAAAACAGAACCTCAGTTTCATCCACTTCCCAACAATTCTTTGCCGGTATCAGATTCTAACAAAACAAGTCAAATGAGTTCACTGCAGACAGAGCCATTTATTGATGTTTCGGATTATAATTTGGAAGACGACACTAACATCGATATTTCGGATTATAATTTGTGTAGTGAAAATAGTCCTATTGACTTTTCAGTTGAAAAAACAAATTGTAACTCTTTAGAGTGGGAATGCCTAGAAGAAGATCTCATAAATGTTATGAAGCTGCCATCACTATGTTGAACATTCACAAATATGTTATTAGAGATTTAGTCACTGTTTTTTTTATTTACATACTTGCAGACTGAAGCTGGATTGCACGGGGAAAGCACAACAGGGTAGTTTTGGATGTTGGCTGCGGGGACGAAAGTTTCGGCAGTTTGCTATTCAAAAGAGATGTTATTACAATGTATTTAGCTTCGAAAGACGAACATGAAGCACATGTTTAATTTGCACTGGAGAGAGGCATTTATGCCATATCTTCGATCATGGGTTCTCAAAGGCTGACATTCCCCAATCGGGTACCTGAGAATGTAGAAGGTTGGTTTCACTAATGCTTATCTTGGGCCTACATTCCCCATGTTTTTTAATATATATTTGCTGCCATAATCTCTTTATGGAGTACGAGCCGGGGGACGCAAATCTGGTGGTAGGAAGCTACTGAAAGGGGCTGTGGAACCTTACATTGTTCCCGACGACAACAAACAAATCACATATCATCAACTGCACCAAATGTTAAAAGAAAACACACTAAGCAATATCTTCCCAGGCCAACGTTTGGTCCCTATTCTTTTATAAATGTAGCTGGGGGAAGGGAAAAGTTTGACGATGACAGACGTAGTTACAAGAACATGGCTGAAGTTGTCGTTGTCATGACAATACTAAATAATTTACACAAAGGTTTGTCCATTTATGCAATTTCTCACATATAATTTTAATGCTATTGAACATAATTTTGACTGGCTGAAAAAGTGTTACATGACAGAAAGTTATAAGCACAGATTGATAAAAAGGAGAAACTCTCCATTGGAATAGTTTCACATTCAAATGGAGGTTGATCATAAATGTTGATCATGTAGATGTGACTAACAAGGAAATCGTTTAAGATGCTTACAGATTCGTGTTGTGCTTAATATGAACATTAGATAAGAAAGCCGATGTTGATTTTTGTAGGTACTACTTGTGCCTTAGAACTTGGGTTTTATCCTGTGAAAGCAATAAGTTGCGTTGCTATCTATTTCTTCTATATGTGGTTTACTACTGTTTGATTTTAGGATCTTAAAAAGGTTACTGTAAATGATGTTTGTAAAGAAAATCTGCACTTGCATTCATATATAAACTTTTAGTATAAATGTACATTGTAGTTACATTATAAAGATTCAGGATTGCATATGTAATTAATTTAAATATTGTATTAAAGAAAAATAATCTGTATATTTAATGCTCACTTATTCTACAATCACTATAACCACAAATTAATGATAATTTTTTGTTACAATTTATTACATGCTTCTATTTTTGATCAAATATGAAAAAAATCATGATTATGTGTGAATATGATTTTTTTTTTGGAGTTAATTTTAGAGTATAAAAATTATATTAATGTGTGAATAAGTTTTTAAATTAATTAATTAATTTATAGTAATGTAAATTAATTTACGCAAAAAAAGTTAAATTATTGATCCAATTTTTTTATAAACAGTATAAAAACAAAAATAAACTTTATATAGAAATAAAATGTTAAAATGTAATGTTGATCCAAATATTTTAATAAACAATATTATTTTTATAAATGAGAAAAAAATGTATTATCGATGCAAACTATTTTATAAATGGGGAAGAATGCATTCTTGATACAAATAATTTTATAAATTGAAAAAATATATTGTTAATACAAATATTTTTATAAATAAATAAAATCAATTATTGATACAAATATTTTTATAAACAGAAAATATTATTGATGTAAATATTTTTAGAAACAACGATTTTTTATATATGGAGAAAATTATCATATAAATATTCGGGTGTAAATAATGTCAGAACTTAAATAATATTTACATACGAGAAAATATAAGGTTAATTCAAATATTCTTATGGTTAAATCAATTATATTTATAATTCAAATAAAAATAAAAATATTGCTTTCTTTTAAAAATAAAAATTTCTTTTGGTTAAGTATTTTTATTTTTCTTTCTTTTCATTTTTATTATATTTTAAAAACAAATGTGCGTAACGCATCAATACTCGTATGCACGGGTAACACATCAATACTGTGTGAAAGCACTGATAACCATGACAAAATTTGTATAAATGGGAAAAAATATACCGTCTGAAAGCACACGTAATTATATTTTTTGTACAATTAAAGAAAGCAAAAGTAAAAATAATGTATTAATCCAAACACAAGAAAAATGTATTATTTTTTAATTATTTATTTCATTTTTGTATTATATCTTTGAAAACAAATGCATATAGCACACGAAATAATGTGGATAATCATACCAAACTATTGTTCTAATATTCCCATTGTTTCCAGTGATTTCTGGTAAACAACCGCTAGTCTTCCAAACTATCGAATAATCTTTCTGACTGTTATTCAATTCCTCTGGTAACTCACAGGATCGACTAGATTGATCCTAGGACTCCTTGGATATTAAGGTTACTCTCATGATCGAACAAATATTCATGGTTGATGTTTGAGTGTTATATATGCGTTTGGCTTATTTCGATTTCTCTCTCTAAAAGTCTAAAGATGCAATCAAAATGTGTGTGTGAAACTAAGTTGCATGAATAAATGTTAATTGTAAAGACATGTAAAATTGCATAAAAGTCAAGTAAATGGTTTCGAATTATAAAACAGTTAATGTAAAGGATTTCTGGAACGTAAAAGGTTTGAAATATGAAGAAAGCGTTTAATGCAAGAAATCTGTAAATGACTTTAAGTAAAAATATGCGTTCGAAGGATAAAACTTGAAGGTAAAGGTATGGAAAATATGACAGTTTTCTAAGATGTAAATTGCTTGAAATGTGAAGAAAGCATTAAAATGTAAAACTTTGAAGAAGAGATTTCGAAGTGAAAAGACTGTAAATGAGAAAACTTGTAAATGCTATTTGACAAAAAGATAAAGGAAAGTGCTGGGAATGGTAAAAGGTTTTCATTAAATCAGAAATACATGGTGCTATCATACATACATTTCTCTTGCATTCGTTTCCCTTTCCATGTGGTAGTTTGAATGTTACTGAGTATTTAGTATAATAGATATGACACACGAAATCCTAATACTAAGACTTCTATTTATACTAATTCGACCATAACGGTCTCGCTATAGGATTATGCCACGTTCAGAACATGCAGGACAATGCCTCTTTCTTCTTTCCACGTGTCCCCAAATGCTCCAGCACATAACTTTCAAACTTTGAATGTCCCGCTTCCATTTGAATTTCAAATGTTTTGGTACTTCTCCGTTTCGAACGCACTTCCTAGATACAGCCTTGTTGTTATTTCGAGACTTCTTTAGATATGTTCCCATAATTGCCACTCGAAGCTCCAAGCTTTGACATACTTATTCGAAACACTGCTTCTGCTACTTCGAAACATGACGCTTTACCTCATTTCGATCGAAACGTTTAATTCATTTGGCTTCTAATAACATTATCAAAATCTTCAGTCAACAAATTGCCCCTTTAAAATATGTATTTCGATTCCTCTGAGAAATACCTATTTTAAACACCTACACAAGATTTTGATGTGACTTTCGAATCATCGTAACATTTAATGCATTTGACTCCAGTCACGTCAATCATAGCACCTTCTGGTTTCCTTAACCGCCTGGAGCCACTTCACAGCATGGTGCAGTTACAAATAATGATTATCTTTAAATCACGCCTATTACCCATGTTAACTTTACGCCACCTCTTCATCACACCAACCCATGATTTCCACGTATCACACCCTTATTCAGTGGATGCTTAAACTTCCCCATTATAAAACATCACCAACTTAATCTTTTTCTTTTCTTTTCACACTCTAAATCTTTTACCCTCCTTCTCTCGTCAAAAACCCAAGCTTTCAACATCTTTCAAAAATGTCTTCTTCTACTTCATCCCAACTCAAGAAAGTCTCCAAGAAGAAAGGAAAAACTGCAGGAGCTACCATGGAAAGTAAAATCATCACTCACCAAGGTCAATCCGTTCTTGCCCCTCAGATGATTTCAAAGGAAAAAGAAATGTTGTATGCGTCACAGGTACTCATTCCTACCAACGTTGCTGGTAAGAGGTTAGCTTTAAATGGCCCTCTTACGGTTTTTGAAATATTAAAAGACACCAGGACGATTTTCCCAGTTTGTTATAGTTTTAAACCCTTGTTTAACAAAATGGACGCCCCTAAGGCAGTAGAATCTTCTAGTTCAAATACCATAGAAAACCCAACTGTTCCTCCTAAGGACCCCTTCGTTTTGGATTATGTAAAAAGTAATTTTAAGCCATTTCGATCTTGCCCCACCTCTGATATTGCTTATCAAAATTGGTTCAAGAAAGTAGAAGCTAAGAAATCCCAGCAATGGGAAGAATTAGGTATCTATAACCTGATTAAGCTATCGAAGCCTGGTTTCACCTACAGCCACCCTCTGCTATTCGCGTCCCTCTATTTCTGGGACAGTACCTATAACACTTTCCATCTCCCAGGTGGAATGATCACCCCAACCTTCTTCGACATAGCGGCCATCACTGGGCTATCGCCAGTGGGAGAAACTTATATACCCGACAACGAAGAACACTCAAGCATAATTGACTTCGAAGTCAAGCTAGCCAGTTTTTCCAAGTTTATCAGTCATTACCATGCTGAGGGGGACAATGTATCTGACGTAGAGCATATTGCTTTCTTAACCCTGTGGCTGTCAAGATACGTTTTCTGCAGTAGATCCCTACAGGTAGCTAGTAGGTTCATTCCTCTAGCTAGGGACTTGCATGAAAATCGAAAAGTGTGCCTAAGTGAACTGCTCTTAGTTGACCTTTATGAAAGCCTGAGGTCAGCTGTTTCGAGCCTCAAATCCCACACCTCCAAAAATATTCTGTTGGCTGGCCCTTTTTGGTTACTTCAACTATGGCTAAATGCCATGTTCGAACCCTCCTTATCAACCGCCAACACCATTGATGAGCAAGATTCTGAGATAAATGATAGGATAGTCGAAGGCACTAGGCTTCGAAGATTAACTCCCAATGACGACAAAGATGACTTCAAA